ACTGGGAGGGTGGAGGGAGGATGGGTTGGAAATAGGGAACTGATTATAAGGATCTACATGGGACCCCCTCCCTGGGGGACGGACAACAGAAAAGTGGGTGAAAGGAGACGTCAGACAGGGCAAGTTATGACAAAATAATAATTTATAAATTATCAAGGGCTCATGAGGGAGGAGGGAGTGGGGAGGGAGGGGAAAAATGAGGCACTGATGTCAGGGGCTTGGGTGGAGAGCAAATGTTTTGAGAATGATGAGGGCAATGAATGTACAAATGTGCTTCACACAATTGATGTATGTATGGATTGTGATAAGAGTTGTATGAGCCCCTAATAAAACTATTAAAATAATAATAAAATTAAATTAAAAATTAAAAAACACAAAAAAACAAAGTGTTCTTGTATTGAGGGAAGGTATGAGCAGAGGCCCAAAGTCTATCCCCTACCTCAGTGTATTGCTATATACACACACACACACACACACACACACACATACACACACATATATGGGCCAATACCTATATTTTGTGGATTAATGTATTTACATATGTACACCGTTATGTTTATACCTCTATCCATTGCTTTGCTTTCTTGGTCCTTCCTCTGTTTCCTTTTACCTTCCTCCTGCCCCCACTGCCATTTTCCCCTTATTTCTGCCTCTTGGTACCTCCTCTTAGCTAGTTTGCTGTTGCTCGGACACACCCCCACCCACCCTACCTCGGATCCCTATATCCTCCTTGTTATTGGCTCCAACACCCCAGTTGTTCCCCTGTCCAAGGCACAGCCTGCTCACCACCCCTTTCCCCACCACCTTCACCTCCCAGGTCTCCCCAGGATGGTTGGTCCCACTGTTCTCTCCTCTGGCATGCTTCCCGTGTCTATCCTATATGGGTAGGTACACCGACTATGGCATAGCGCAAACTGATTTTTAAAATAAATGAAAATAGTAAATGTATAAGAAAAAATAAAAATTAAAAGACAGAGAGAGAGAAGAACTATACAAAAATCCCAGTCTGTTCCCTGGCCTTCAAGACTGTCCAGGAGCTGCCCCGCCCAGCCTGGAGCACCCCTTGGGGCTCCTCAGGGGCTTCTTCGCCCTGCCTTGCTCCAGCTGCTGGTCTGGTACCCTCCCTTCTTGGTGCGCTCCTCTCTGGGGGGTTCAGACCATGCTGCCTCCTCACCATGTGACCCCAGAAATGTCCTCTGTCGCAGTCTGCTCCAGTAAGGGGACAGCACTACAGGAGCTGTTGTCGGCTGCCCAGTCCCCTCTGTGTCCCATTAGCTCCCCGCAGGGACGTCATCCTCTGAGCCTGGGGTGCCACTGTGGGGTCCAGTCCGGCTTTCTCTTTCTCTTCCTCCCTCCCAGCCTGCCTTCCTGTGGGAGTGGCATGCTGGGGCCCAGCTTTTATAACCAGCTTTTCGGTGGCACCCAGGCAGCTTGCTCTGGGTACCACAGTTTGCAAAGTGAGGGGCTAGAATGACATTTCCCAAACTACCTGGGCTGAAAGATCTGTTTTTTAAAGTGTGCACGTGCCCTTCGGTGGCACAACTGGTTGATTGCACAATAACGGAAAGGCTGGCAGTTTGAACCCAGAAGCACCTCAGAAAAAAGTGTTGGCGCGCTGCTTCTGAACTGTCAGAACCTTCAAAGCTTCCCAGAGCTCAGTTCTGCACTGCAGCCCATCGGGCTACAGGGCTCACCAGCACTCGGATTGACACTTCGGCTGCTGTTGTTTCGTGTTTTGTTTTTAGTTTTTGTACTGCCGGCCTGGTGATCCTATTTTGAGTCACGAGGGGCTAGAACAGCATTTCTCAAGCAACCTGAACAAAAGATTGGTTTTTGAGTCAAGAGAGGGGAAGGGGAGCATGTGTCTTAGAGACAAAAATGTTATCTCTGTTGTGAGGGAAACGGGGAGGAGCAAACTCCTATAGGTAAAAAATGCTGATTGGAGCTGGAGGGGAGGATACGCCTGGTACAAGGTTCCTCATGGGAGACTTCTGACCTCACTTCCAGGCAGCCCTTGGGCACTCAGTCCATGTGGTATAGACCACAGGGACTTTGGACTTGGTTTTTTCGAGGTGCACAGCATCCTTCATAGGCCACACCAGAAGGACTTGATAGGGAAGCCCCACTAAGCAAACGGGGTTTTACCTCAAACTCACCTGTAGCCATTAACTTAAGGCTGAAACTCCCTAGTGCAGTGGTTCTCAACCTTCCTAATGCTGTGGCCCTTGAATACAGTTCCTCATGTTGTGGTGACCCCCAACCATAAAATTATTTTCATTGCTATTTCATCACTGTAATTTTACTACTGCTGTGAATCGTCATGTAAATATCTGGTATGCCGGATGTATTTTCATTGTTACAAATTGAATATAATGAAAGCATAGTGATTCATCACAAAAACAATATGTAATTATATATTGTGAAATATTTATCTCTAATTACAAATAAATGAAAGTTTGTCTTGAAGCATGGTAACAGTCTTCACACCGGGTTCTTGTATGTGGGTGTATCTGCATGTGGGCAGACCCACCAGGAGACAAAAAAAGATGTGATGTTTCAGTTCCTACAACCATCCGAAGTAGGTGTTTTCGATGGTCTTAGGTGACCCCTGTGAAAGGGTCATTCAACCCCCAAGGGGGTCATACAGCTAGCCCAAGGGCATAGCATTGGCAGACTTCGGTTCAAATCTCTTGCCTTGAGGGTGCCCAGTGAATAGTGGCCCTGGGCTACCATACACTTAGTATGTTAATGCCCACTGTGCTTCATGATGACATGTCTCAATCTGGTAGGCCTGGCCTTGCTGCTGTGAATGAATATTATTGGAAGATTTTTTCCTATCACCAATCCCCATTGTTTGTGTAGAAGGTCCAGTCACTTAAGAGTTTAATCTGTACAAGTCAACAATTCATGTACTTTGGTTCATAACTTGCCAATGCTCCCATCATTTCCTTTTCTCAACGGTGTTTTCAATTCTATACCACTGGCTAAACTAATGACACCATAAATATGTAGTAGTGCTGCATTGAGCTGCTAATAGCAAGGTCAGCAGTTCAAAACCACCAGCCAGCTCTACGAGGATAGGGCCTTCTACTACTGTGAAGATCTTCAGGCTTGGAGATTTGCAGGGCAGTTCTACCTTGTCCTGTAGGGTCCTTATGAGTCAGCATTGCCTTGATGGCAGTGAAAGTGATGTCCTGGCCGAAGTTCTCACCCTGTGGGTCACGAACCCTTTGGGGTTCCAACAACCCTTTCACGGGGTTCGCCTGATTCATAACAGTAGCAAAATTACAGCTATGAAGTAGCAATGAAAATAATTTTATGGTTGGGGGGTCATCACAACATGAGGAACGGTATTAAAGGGTTGCAACATTCAGAAGATTGAGAACCACTGCCCTAGGGGGGATGATTGACAATGTTCTCGGTAACATAAAATGACAATGAAGTCTCTATGGTGAACCAGAGACATATATAAACCATAGCTATATGAGTGGATTTGGGGCTTGCACTTAATTCTAACCCCAATCTAAGAGCAATTATTTCTTATGACATGACCTTGCTTGACGCTCACCCTCATGAAGAGATCACTGAAGATTTGGGTGGCATGGCAAAGTGTGGTGAAGAAACTAGATGATGCCCGGCTATCAGAAAGAATCGTGTCTGGGAGCTTAAAGGATTGTTTACAAACAAGCAGCTATCTAAGTGAGGCATCA